GATCCTACAGAATGAGGTATTGGTGTTTTCTATAATGATCCTACAGGATGAGGTATTGGTATTTTCTATAATGATCCTACAGGATGAGGTATTGGTATTTTCTATAATGATCCTACAGGATGAGGTATTGGTGTTTTCTATAATGACCCTACAGGATGAGGTATTGGTGTTTTCTATAATGACCCTACAGGATGAGGTATTGGTGTTTTCTATAATGACCCTACAGGATGAGGTATTGGAGTTTTCTATAATGACCCTACAGGATAAGGTATTGGAGTTTTCTATAATGACCGATTAGGATGAGGGAATGGTGTTTTCTATAATGACCGAATAGGATGAGGGAATGGTGTTTTCTATAATGACCGAATAGGATGAGGGAATGGTGTTTTCTATAATGACCGAATAGGATGAGGGAATGGTGTTTTCTATAATGACCCAACAGGATGAGGGTATTGGTGTTTTCTATAATGACCCGAACAGGATGAGGTATTGGAGTTTTCTATAATGACCCGACAGGATGAGGTATTGGTGTTTTCTATAATGACCCGACAGGATGAGGTATTGCTACTTAGTGTATAAAATTTGGATTAAAGAGCAAGAATTTACATAGGTCTTATCATTTTATTCTTTACATGTAACTTCAGATTTAGCAGTAAATACAGAAAGACAACATACAGAGAATGTGTTTATTTATAAGAACGTAGCTAAATATTACAAAATCACAGCTAATTAATTGTTTTGTACAACTACTTATAGCACCATAGATTTCTGAACTCTGCCCCACATAAACAGGCAGAAGTAAGACAAAGAGAAAATATCCAGTGGACAGCACTCTTCGGTTATCCATTGTATTTTTTCAAGTGTATTATTGAAACATAAAAATAAATAAAAGTTGGAAGAAAATCTCCATTTTACCTGTATACAGAATTAAGGTGTGTGTGTGTATACATATATCACTGGAAATTTTGGAGCCCGAGATGGCTTTCCATAGCGGCAAGTAGAAGAGATTCTTCCATTGTTAATGATCTACAGACACTATACAATAAACCCAACACAAAAATAACACAAATATGGTGGTAACATAGTAAATAACACAACCCACTTTCACCGAACCCTTCACCTTATTGTAGCTGCCTATTTGGGCTGATTGTAACGTACAAAAGTTAGCATTTTTTCATATTTTGATGTGTGTTTGCACATGAGATTTAGATTCCTCGGAAGGACCAAACATCATATTGATCTTCATTTTCCACTGTTGACCCCAACCCGATGATTGAAAAATAAATCTGAATATTCTGATGCTATATTCTCACAGCTGTTTAAATTTTAATAATATATGTGCGTGTTAGTGTTTCTGAACTGTAATTGATTTAATTAGGTGAGAAACCAGTGGATCTACTTAATCCACTATATTCTAACTATAAAAAAATAATAAAAAGGAGTTTTGGCACGAATTTTTCAGTTCTTTTTTACCATACAAAATGCTGTTAGTTCCAGATAAAGCTACATTGTTGAACCATCACCACATTCTAGATGTTAAGGGTGCTAGGTCGTAATGATGGAAAATGTATTAATCCAGTCAGTAGCCCTGCAAGAATTCCATATGATAATAAGTATCAGCACCAATTTTAAGTTTCTATAGACCAATTTTTTTTTTCTCAGTGTTGGAGACTGTATACAAATTTTGTTCAATAACTAGGAATGCACATTAGAAAAGGCCCCAAACCAAAACTTGATCCAAAAATCAATTTGTAACACGTGCTATTAATTAAAATCAAATGGACAAATGAATGAGTTTGATTTTAAAAACTTAAGCCACTTGAAACATTTCAAAAATTGTTGTTTGAATATCTGCAGGTTAAATGGTAACACACAATGATTTAACATCATAAATGAACAAAAAGATTAGTCAAAATTTCATTAATATTCGTTGTAAATTTCATATATGATTGGTCCAGGGCTAAAAAAGTAATCTGTTACTTTATTTTTGTTGTGGATTATTTTAACAGTTGGTGGTTCCAAGCCCAATATCTATTGCTATGTTGAAACTCCCTTGGTCATCAAGCTGACCAGCAGCTGATCACATCTACTAGTCTCTGCTATAGGCAGCATTTGAATATGGTCCAGAGTAGATAGAACTGCCAGCTGTACTAGCCCCCTTTCTCCTGCGACGACGATGGAGAATACAGGCTACCAATAACATGACTGCTAACATTAACAGGACCCCAGCAATGGCAATACCAATAGCAAACTTTCTTGTAGACACACAAAACTCGTCCTCGGCAGATGAGGGTACTGCTGTCACTCTAGGCTCTGGAAGAATCGGGAAAACTGCAGTGTTACTTTATTAATAATGACAAACATGGTTTTCAACATTCAGCTTGCCGAATGAAAAAATTCAAAATTATCATGTAAAATATTATTTGATAAGGACACAATTTTCTAGCAAAACATGTACAAGTACTACATGTATGATTGTAAATGATTTGTACAGAGATCAAAAACGCCATGGTTGTAGTGCAAGAAATCATAATGCTAGAGTTCTGAGTACACCATTTGTCTATCCATATATTTGTG